AACATGGAGTCTACGTCACTAAGGACTCTGCTGAAGTGATTGAGTTGGGGTGGATCTTGTTGGATACCAAAACCTGCGAGGAGGTACGTCGGCTTGATTATTTTATTATCTCTCGTTCATCCATTCATTGCCCCAGCCTTTTCCCCCCCTCCTCCTTGACAAATTTCCCCCCTCTCGGATGCTTATCTGCCGTGCTTCCTTCATCAACCGAGACCACTCAAACCCCCCCCAAACAAGAGAATCCTCCATGATGTACTATTTGCTGACACTGTTTCCTTCCTCGGCTTAGTTGCACCATGAGAGCGTTCTTGTCAAGCCCGTCAACACCCCCATCACGCCTCTTTGCAGTAAGTGCACCCCGTTCGAACGCAGCCTACCCAATCACCCAACAATGCCTTCCTCTCCTTCTCTCGTATCTCACTCCGTCCCTCCGCATCCATCCGTCCCTTGGTTCAATGGCTGACGGTCTTTGAAAGCGAGCTTGACGACTCTGACATGGGAACACGTCCGCTCGGCAGGCACCTTCCGCGACGCCATCAACCGCTTCGACGCTTTCGCCCAGGAACACCTCATCAGCAAGAACCTGGAGTTCGCCTTCGTGACGTTGGATTCATGGGATCTTCGTGTGCAGCTGCCCCGTGAGGCTCGGGACAAGGCAGTCGTGCTTCCGGCATACCTTCAGCACTCCCGGACATTCGACCTCCGCACCGAATACCAGCGATGGCAGACTCACCACCCCGAGTCTCTGCCCTTCGGCCCCAGCTCTCTCTCCAACATCTGCGCCGCCCTCGAGGTTGAGCCCGTTCAGTCTTCCGCTCCCATCAAGCACAACCTTCCCTTCCACCTGCAGGCCTTGGCTCCCGCCTCTCCCCGTCGCGCCATGGAGGAGGCTATCACCTTGGCCAGAGTGCTGCGCGGCTTGATCCGGAAGTCTCAGCCCCCACATGAACACCCCGAGATCCTCACCCGCCCCATGGATGCCAGAGCGGACGTTCGTGCCTTCCTGGCCGAGCGCAGCAAGGTTCTTCATCTGAGCGGACTCCCCCACGACACCACCCAGTCCGAGCTGGAGAGCTGGTTCACTCAGTTTGGCGGTCGTCCGATCGCATTCTGGACCCTCCGCACCCCGGATCAGCACAAGCCTACCGGCACCGGCTTTGCGGTCTTCTCGTCCCACGAAGAGGTATGAACTGGCTTGCTATCTTTCACCATCCTCAGACCTTAGATCAGATATCTAATTTGTTTCCACGCAGGCTGCCGAGAGCCTTTGCATGAACGGCCGTGCTCTGAACGAAAAGGCCATCGAGGTGTCTCCTTCCTCCAGCCGTGTCCTGGACCGTGCCGCGGAGATCCTGACGCCTTTCCCTCCCTCCAAGAACCGCCCTCGTCCTGGCGACTGGACTTGCCCCTCATGTGGATTCTCGAACTTCCAGCGCCGTACTGCATGCTTCCGCTGCTCGTTCCCGGCTATGGCCGCTGCCCCCGATCCGATGGGATACGGCTACGGCTACGGCCCCCCGTCCATGATGCCTCCTCACATGGGCCACGGCCACGGAATGGGCCATTCCCGCGGCATGGGCGGCAACGGCGGTGTGGTGCCTTTCCGTGCTGGTGACTGGAAGTGTGGCTCCGAGGGCTGCGGTTACCACAACTTCGCCAAGAACATCAATTGCCTGCGTTGCGGTGCTCCTCGGTCTGGAGCAGCAGTGGTGGCCGACTCCGCTTTCCCGTCCCCGATGGATCCTCCCTCGAGCTTTGGCATGGGCCCGAACTCCATGACCAGCACCCCGGCTCCTGGTCCCTTCGCTGCTAGCACTGGTAGCTTTGGCGGCTTTGGTCAACAGTTTGCCGCGCCCCCCAACAACTATGCTGCCTTGCCTTCGGGCTTGGGAAGCGCCCCGGCCGCATACCCCCCTATGGGTCAGATGAACGCTGGTTATGGTTCCGCGAATGCTTCCCATTCCGCGGCCTCGTTCGCCAACCCGGCCGCCCAGGCTGCCTTCACGGGGGCTGATCACAACTCGTCGACCAGTGCGTCCAACGGTGCCTTCTACGGCAATGATGGCTCGAGCGATCCGTTTGCCTTCCTCTCGACGGGCTTGGGAGGTTTGACTGTGGGTGAAGATGCCCACTCTCGTCGCAACGGCGCCAGTGCGAACAAGTCCCCCGCGTAAAAAGTTATGAAACAGCAATGTTGTTTCAGCCGGGGACATTAGAGATTTGTTTTCTACGACGGTTCTCCCTCACGGTTTTTTGTCCATATGGTGGTCTGGATATGTTGGTATATGTGACGGTTGGTATTCCGTTGATGCGCATTTGTATAAGGAATTCTGCAGTTCTGGTGCATTAGGTTGGGAGGAGCAGGCCGGTAGCGTGTCGTCGTTTCGTCCGATTTGGTCCTTTCTGTTTTTGCCTGGTCTCGCAGATTTGACGTCAGACCATTTTCGGTATGTCTTACTATTGTGTCTTTGCAAGCGATGTTTGAGGGTATAGAAGAAGACCGCCCGGGCAGGTGGGCCCAGGCGGTCCTATGCGCTTCTTCACCACCTGCTGGATCATCGTTTCGCGTTTGTTGTTGGTTCTCATTTCTTATTTTCTTTCCTTCTTGGAGCGGCATGGGCTTCGCGCATTTCTCTCGTCATGGGCGCATACTCCTCCGGCGGAGGGGAGGAACTCCTGTCCGGCTAGCCGCGGCGCTGGCGAGGAAGGGCTCGAGCATGGCATTGCATTCTAGATATTGTCTTTTTTTTTTTTTTTTCTTTTCTTTTTTCCTTTTTTTCTTTTTTTTTTTTCTTTTTATATTTGTTGGCTTTCCGAGTTCATCTGCGCGCTTCGACAATAGGGATCATTGGAGAATCACGGTATTGATCATGGTTGGGATACAATGGAACGGACTCTGTTGGGGGTGTTGGGGTATTCCTTTTGAGCCAGCAAAATTTCAACCAGCTACGACGGATTTGGGACATCTGCGAGGCACATGGATTGGGAGTCGTGCGTGCGACAAGATTGTTCTGAGTGTCCATAATTCTTGTACTGTTCTTCATATTACTTATACTGTTCTCGTCTTGTGTTTACATATGCTTTCCCTGCGGGTTTTGTCGTTCCCTCCTTCAAAAGTCGAGACGTGATTATTGGTTTAACTAGCCCGATGCCTGCATTCTCTCGTATCGCCTTTCAGCGTGTGATGTACAGCATGGTCCGATCTCAGCTAGGCAGGGAGTCATGGGCGATTGGGGTGTAGATCAACTATATGAGAATTCTCTTTTCATCGAGCCTGTTGATATTTATGCATTGGTCGTCATGATCGATTGGTGGATGATTAGGTCAGTGCCAGGATAAATTCACGGTACCATTAGACAAGTATTTCCTTATAATTTCCAGTTGTGGTTTTTTCTAAGTGGCTACTGTCTACTGCGTGGAATATGCAAGCACTAGAGGCAAGAGTTATACCAGTAGTAGGATGGTCGGGGAGAACCAGCAGGAGGGAGAGCGTCATGGCGGCTAGCCGCGCGCCAAGCGCTTGGGAGCTCTCAAGGCAGCGGCGGGCCTCGCGTCCACCTCCATCTGTCATCGCCCAGCCGGACACCGGACCCCAGCATTCTACGACCCAAGACTCCGAATTGTATCTATTTGACCTCCTACTTTCTCTCGTGAACTCCATTCCAGTCTTCTTTCTCTCGGAAACCCCTAATCTCGCCTACTGCCCATAATGTCTGGATATGACCGAGCTCTTTCAGGTAAGACAAGCTAGCTACTACCTTGGCTACGGGCCTGGTTGATGAAGGGATTCCCCATTCTAACCTCTTCGCAGTCTTCAGGTATGAATATCTAGCTTCATGAAGCTCTAGCAAACACATCCTAACCCGCCCTCAGCCCCGATGGGCACGTCTTCCAGGTGGAATACGCCATGGAAGCCGTCAAGCGAGGTACGTCCAGCCCCTCCGACCCGAAGGGAAATCCTCCCATCCATCAATCACATCATAACTCACCTATTCTCTCCCTTTGCATCTATCCAGGAACCTGCGCCGTCGGAGTAAAAGGCAAGGACGTGGTCGTTCTCGGCTGCGAGAAGCGCTCCGCACTGAAGCTCCAAGATACCCGCATCACACCGTCCAAGATCGCCATGGTGGATAACCACGCCGTCCTGGCTTTCGCCGGTCTGAACGCCGACGCCCGCATTCTTATCGACAAAGCCCGTCTAGAAGCTCAGTCCCACCGTCTGACCGTTGAAGACCCCGTCACTATCGAATACATTACGAAGTACATTGCTAGTGTGCAGCAGCGGTACACGCAGAGTGGTGGTGTTAGACCCTTTGGTATCAGTACCCTGGTCGTCGGATTCGACCCCAATGATAAGACGCCCCGGTTATATCAGACTGAGCCTTCGGGGATTTATTCCGCTTGGTGGGTGTTCCTCCTATGCTTTTGTGTTGATGATGTAGGGATGGGTTGAAACTGACGATGGCTTCGGGATGTTAGGAAAGCAAATGCTATCGGACGCTCCAGCAAGACTGTGCGCGAGTTCCTCGAACGCAACCACCAGGATGAGATGGATCGCGAACAGACTATCCAGCTCACTATCAAGTCGCTGTTGGAGGTTGTGCAGACCGGTGCGAAGAACATCGAGGTGGCTATCATGTCGCCTGGGCAGACGATTGAGATGCTCCCGGATGACCAGATCGAGGCGTACGTTAAGAGCATAGAGACGGAGAAGCAGGAGGAGGCGGCTAAGAAGAAGACGGGTCGCGGTGGCACCACGACGGCTGCTATCCTAACACGGCCTGGTGGCGGCGAGGGCAGCGAGAGCCGGGAGTAAGGTGGGATGCCATGCCGTTCAAGTAGAGGCTACGTCGAATCAGCAACGATGAGAGTCTCGTTGCGGGGTGTGCTTTCTATCCAGTTAATTGTCTAGGGATCTTGCAAGAAGCGTTACGTCCTTTTTCACGAAAATAAACTCCGTTATACTGTAATGCAGATGTGCTCCGGATCTATATGAAGCTCTAGGTTCAAGGTGATATACAGGGATTATTTAGGTAAAGTATAGTAGTAGTGTGTATGCATGATTTCGTAAATCTCGTTCATCGACCCCTCGTTTCAGGGCCTGGCGTCTAACCCAAGCGATCGGAAATATCCTTGAAGTTGAAGATGGAGCGTTCCTGGTGTCCGCGAACACGGTCGTCTTTGAGCATTCTACACGAAGTCAAATACGTCAGTTAATCCCCAAACACAGAATAGACGGGTATAGGGGGTCACTGACCTGGCATCAATTCTCGCATCCTCACCCTCGACCTGCAACGTGGGAGTCGGCGTCACAGCGTCAATCACGAAATGGTTATCGCAGTGCGGGCAGTATTCGTCACTAAATCCAGACAAAATAGGTGTCAAGTCAATTCAACCATTCGTAGCCTCCTTCTACCCCTCCCCCTTTTTTTTATCTTCCTCTCTCTCTTTTTATAGATATGGGCCAGCCCCTCCGGTTTATCATCCCAGTAACTAAGGGCAGCAGGTGTGGGGGCGGGTGACGACGACCGGACGCACCTCTCATCAAACTCCGTCGCGTCTTTCCGGAAACATTTCTTGCATTTCTTGCAGGCGAAGACCTAGAATTTTTGGAATTCATTCGGTTGGTGATTGGGGGTTTGTGGTAGGTAAAGTAGGTAGTAGAAGTACCATTTCAGTGGTTTTGGTGAGCGAGTGCGATTCTTGTTCTTGGTGGCATTCGGCGCAGTCGAACCATTTTTTGCCTGTCACGGATACACGGGGAATAATTAGATTTGGGGGATTTAGAGGGGGGTGAGAGGGCTTACAGCAGGGAGAGCGGATGGCCACTTGGGCGTTCAGAATGTGTTTACTGGATTTTTGAGGATTATTGGTGAGTTGAGTTCAAGCTGGTGAGTAGAGAGAGGATGGGAGGTGAGGGGTATGGTTCATACCACATTGTCTAAAGTTTATACACGGGGGGATTTGGGTATAGAAGGAGAGAAAAGTAAAATATAGACAAGTTTCAAAAAGACACAAAGATGTCTTGAATGTGGTGGGAAGTTGGAGTAAAGTATGCAGTGGTTCAGGTCGGGGGGAGGGCTAAAAATAAAGAATGAATGGATGGATGGATGGATCCCATCCATCCATCCATTCATTCATTCCTCTCCCTCCATCAATGCATATCACGCGCGGGTCGATCATCGCCTCGCCTCGCTGGGTTTCTTCTCTCTCTCTCTCCCCTTTCCTTTCCTTTCCTTTCCTTCCCTACTACTACTACTTACTCCTCAACTTCCTCTTGTCGGTTTGGGTGACTTCATCTCCCGGTGATTCCTCTCTTTTTCCCGCCCATCCTCTTCTTGTCTCTTCCTTCTACTCTTCCTCCTACTCGTCCTCCCCACTCTTTGGATCCCTCCCTTCCTCCGTCCTTCCCCCCCTCCTCTCTCTCCACACATTCACTGCTCAATTCCTCCCATCGCTCCGATTTTCATCTGATATTGTCCGGGCCATCCTCCACGTCCTCCGCCAGAGTAGGATCACCAGTTCTAGACCCTTCTTATCCCTGCACGGCGTCTTGTTGTCTCTACTGCTCTTGAATTCCTTCCGCCTAAACTGGAGCTCCGCCACAATCGTCACTTCCGGCTCAACTCCCTGCCACCCGTTATCTTATCCAGTCTGGCCGTTGAATTTACTGTGCCATTTGCTTAGCCTCTCCCCGGTGGTAGTCTGCATTCATCGCAATTGGCGGAGCCTATGATCCATTCCTTTTCTCGGCCTGTTTGTTGGATTCGCTGTTGTGGCCATGGAGGGAAACGGCAAGCAAAAGGACGCCACGGATAATGCTCCGATTGTACGTTTGCGCCGGCCACTCCACCCCCGCTGTTCTGGAGCTTCATACTAATCTAACTGGCTTCTGTAGAGACCGGTCTCTTCCCTACTTTCGCATTTCGAGAATCTTTCGCATCGTCGGGCTCCATCCGCTGCTACAAACGGTTCACGCGATCCGCCGTCCTTCCTGAGAACGCCCGAATACGGTGATGATATCCGCTCCAACAGAGCCTCTCTTGATCTACCACGTCCACGGTCTCCCTGGGGCTCAGTGCCGGATGTGGAGAGAAGTCATAGCATCGTACATGGCAATGGTCTAGCCCCGCACTCTGAATCCCCCGGGATTTCCCCGGGCAGACGGCAGAACAGACCCATGTCGATGAACCTCCACTCGTCGCCGCAGTTGGCACCGACTCTGACGGTCGATTCACCACGGTCTCCGCCGCGCGGGTTTGGAGCAGACCATGAGGAGGAAATCAGCTCGTCTCGAACACCGCCGAATGCTTCCCGGGAATCGCTACCTACCATACCGCAAGGAATTCCTCCTGCTCATCGACCAACCACCCCCGTCTCTGCGTCTTTTCCTACGGAAAGTAAGGCGGATCGTTTGTCGCCTGGCACATCAGGCTCCCTGGCAAATGGACGCGAGAGCCCATCGGAACGCAAAGGCAAGAGCGTTTCCCTCCCCCCGCCTGCTAACCGGGCGGAGAAGCCCAAGATCCCCGCCAAACCGGCGGCATTGTCACACCACGAAGCCAGCTCTCTTGCTCCACAGATTGAACGTGCCTCCTCGGAAGACCGCGTATCGCCGTTCAGCACTCCTCCGAGCAGTCCCGAGAAAACATCCCCGAAACAGCAACCTAATACCAGAGCCGTACCAATTCCGCGGTCGCCCTCCCGGCGCTCGCCAGCCCGTCCAGTACCTGGTCTTCCGACTCATCGGTCACTAGAGGAGAGGTCACCCGCTCCTCAGCCAGGTGTACACCGAGAGTCTTCGCTGAGGCGGCCAATTCCGGAGCCTCCCCGGGAGACGAAGCCGCTTATGGTCCAGATTCCTCCCAGGCATTATGTAGCGCCGGAGCCGCTCGCAACCGCACCGCTCTCCAACTACAGGCCCCCGATGCATGATCCGCAGGAGCGCCCCGGACTGCCTCCCCGACAGCCATCTCTGGCACGAAGGGGCGGTCCATCACCGTCGCGGCATTCATACCAGGTGGAAAGCCCGGCGTTCTCATTACCTCCCCCGACACCCTACCGCGAATCTCGGCCCCTTTATCGAGACGAACTACCCACTCCGACGCATGTCTCTCGACAGCCATCCATTTCCAGGGAGACTAGGCCCCTTTATCGAGATGAGTTGCCAACCCCGACGCACGTATCGCGGCAGCCGTCCATTTCCAGGGAGACCAGGCCAGTGCCGCCCCCGGCTGTCCCGGAGCGCCCGATGCCAGAGAGGCCTATGTCAGAGCGTCCTATACCAGAACGGCCTGTGGTGGAACGTCAAGCAGTTCGCCCTATTCCCAGTGAGGATGAGCAGGTTCCGGATGAGACGCCAGTTGCTCGTACGGATTATCCAGATGCGTCCAGTGCGAACAGACGGCCACCGCTGCTGAAGTCTGGGCCTCAGGAGATTCACACGCGGTACGATACGCGTCTCATGGATGTGTGTGGGAAGCATGTGTGCACGACCGGCTACATCACGCGGGTCTGGGATCTTACGACTGGAGAGCAGATTATGAGCCTTAGCCATGGGGAGACAGTCAAGTGTCTGTCGGTTGCCTTCAAGCCAGGTTTGGGTCTGGAGGATGAAGGCCAGCGCTTATGGTTGGGCACGAACTCCGGGGATCTACACGAAGTTGACATTGCAACCCGGTCCATTGTCGCATCGCGGTCTTACCCCTCTCGACGGGAGATTGTCAAGATCTTGCGGCATAAGAAGGAAATGTGGACCCTTGACGATGAGGGTCGGCTGCTGGTATGGCCTCCGGACGAGACTGGAACGCCGAACCTCCAGTACAGTTACCACAACCCCTACGATCGGGTTGCCCGCGGGCATACGTTCTCGATGGTGGTTGGAGACCTTTTGTGGCTGGCTTCCGGCAAGGAGGTGCATGTCTATCAGCCAAATGCTCGTGATGATGTTTCGTTCAAGGTTCTCAGCAGGCCATTGGGCTTGCAGCATACGGGAGATGTAACTTCAGGTGCTTATACTACCAAGGATGGTGGACGTGTGTATTTGGGTCACGCAGATGGCAAGGTGACCGTATACTCGGCCCACGACTACACCTGTCTGTCTGTCGTCAATGTCAGTGTCTACAAGATCAACTGTCTGGGTATTGTGGGAGATTATCTGTGGGCAGCATACAAGACCGGCATGATCTATGTCTACGATACATCTACGAATCCGTGGACGGTGAAGAAAGATTGGCGTGCTCATGATAGCCCTGTCAGCGGGTTCTTGCTTGACTCTAGCAGCGTGTGGACAATGAACCGATTGCAAGTGACTTCGCTGGGAGACGACAACTGCATCCGTCTTTGGGACGGCATGTTGGAGGATGATTGGTTGGGTAAGTGGCTGCGATTGTCCGACTGATATGAGCTAACACCTTTTAGAAACCAGGATGCAGGCCAGAGACGTGGAGTTTTGCAAGTTCCGTGAGATTCAGGCGGTAATCATGACCTGGAACGCCGGTGCTTCTACCCCTGGAAGCGTGCGCACATCCACTTTTATCCAGGATGCGATCCATCCTGAGAACCCACCAGAGATCTTGGTGTTTGGCTTCCAGGAGCTGGTGGACCTTGAGAATAAGAAGATCACAGCCAGTACGTATACCGCTGACATTATTGGGTGTAGCTAACTCCGTCCAGAGAGTCTGCTCCTCGGGAGTAAGAAGAAGGAGCACGGTGACAAGGAACACATGAGTCGGCAATACAGGGTGTGGATGGAGCACTTGACCCGCTGCATTAATGACTGCATGCCGCTTGAGGAGTCGTATGTGCTACTGCATAGCGCGAATCTGATCGGTCTCTTTACGTGTGTGTTCGTGAAGCACAAGGAGCGCCAGCGGATCAAGAATATCGGCGCCTCGGAGATTAAGCGCGGTATGGGAGGGTTGCATGGAAACAAGGTAGGCTCAAGTTATTCTGGTTGCCGTCAGTTGCTGATTGCTGATTGCTGTAGGGTGCACTTATACTCCGCTTTGTCCTTGATGACAGCTCCCTCTGCTTTATTAACTGCCACTTGGCAGCTGGTCAGACGCAGACGGCACACCGCAACAATGATATCGCGGCGATTCTCGAGGCGGAGTCGCTTCCTGCGGAGACTAGTCTCGCAACTCGCGCGAACCACTACGTGAGCGGTGGCGATGGCTCGATGATCATGGACCACGAGATCTGTATCCTGAACGGTGATCTCAACTACCGTATCGACTCTATTCCACGGAACGTGATCATCGACGACATCCGCAGTAACAACCTGACCAAGCTCCTGGGACGCGACCAGTTGCTCGCCTCGCGACGCAAGAACCCTGGCTTCCGTCTGCGTTCCTTCAACGAGGCACCCATCACGTTCGCACCGACCTACAAATACGACGTCGGCACCGACGAGTACGACTCCAGCGATAAGAAGCGCGCACCCGCATGGTGTGACCGAGTTCTCTACCGTGGACTAGGCCGCGTCCGTCAACTCGAATACCGCCGGCACGAAGTCCGCGCATCCGACCATCGACCAGTGAGCGCTACGTTCAAGCTGCGCGTCAAGACAGTGCTACCGACTGAGCGAGCCGGAACCTGGGAGTCGTGTCAGCAGGAGTTCCAGAACGAGAAGCGCCGACTTGCATCGGAAGCGAGGTGAGACATACCATAGATCCGTGAAAGGGCACTGGCTAACGGTAGCAGCATCGAATACCTAATTACTGTCCTCGGAACGGACCCTCAACAGGCGCGGGCCCTGATTCTGGGCAACGGGAATTGATAGCTTGCTGATAGTAGAGTGTGTTGCTTGGGAGTAGACAGGCCGAGGCCATGTGTATGACTAATGAATCACGATAGACATGTATCATGACGGGGATTAGAACTACCCGGGCATATATTAATGGAGTGTATATAGCAGTTACCACTTTTACTGGGTTCATATAATGTACGCATTGAACAGTAGGTCGTAATATATATGGAGGCAGCAGAAGGATAGCCTAATACAGAACAACACGAACACGATGTCATACAATAACAACCGAAGACCTTATCATGAATAATAAAGAATATTGCTTAACCCCTAATACGCAAAACGAAGTCCAAATAATATGATAGTTGACACCCAAAACACAATAAATATACCCAGCACTAAATGTGGGATATCGACCCTCAAAACTCACTCATAGGGTAAGAAAGGAAAGAATCAGGCACCAACAATGGGCCTATGGCGCAATTGGTAGCGCGTAGTAAGTTTCACTGAATCAACCTAATTCCAACATCCACTAACCACTTCAACAGCGACTCCAGATCGTAAGGTTGTCCGATCGAGCCGGGCTGGGCTCATTATCTTTTTTGCTTTTTTTCCCTACACTCTTACCCATATGACCAAACCCACATAGCTGGCTGGGTAGTTGATGATAGCGGTAGGGTTGAGATAGATGTAGCTGTAAGAAGTCTTATTATTGTTTCTAAAAAATTTGTTCAACCGAGTGAGACGTGTTACTGATATCCTGGATGAAGTGTTCGTGTGATGGTTATTGATTGGGACTGACTGGGCTGTGGTGTTGCGTGCGGGGTGTACTTGATTTACTACTTGGTATAGGTCCGTGTGATGGATTGGATAATTGACTGAATATGGAAGCGCTGCGCTGATGGTATTTGTTATTGCTCTCTCGTAGTAATGAAAAGTTAATTCCTAGGTAGTAGAAAGGGTACTATCTCGAGATCTTGGAGGATACAGCACTGAATGGTTTCAAGTGGGGTTGTTATCCTCATTGCCCGGATGAGGGACGATTTTGTCATAGATGAAATATGAGATATTAAATCCGTTTTATTCGCAGGATAGACCCTTCGTCTTATTTTGAGCAATATCACATTGGATAGAGCTACAAGAACACCCACCACTGTTCAGTAAGGTATCATCCATTTGATCGGATATACAGATCGTATCAAACGAACACATAGTACGTACTTACTTCTAATTGAGCCAGCCCATTTTCAGTATATAAGTATCCCACTGCTAACATGATCTACTTTGGGTCATTTATATAGATATTCAGATATAGTAGATATATGACTTTTATTATTTAGTAAATAATTGTCTCTTCGTGAGAGTTAACTGCGACATAGTTGATATCCATCGTGAAAATTACAATACGTTACACTAAAATACTTCCTGCCAAGATTAGTTCAAAAATGACAAAATTATCTCACCTATGGGCCTATGGCGCAATTGGTAGCGCGTAGTAAGTTCACCTCAAAATCCAAATCAGGATTACATCAGCATCTAACAGTTCCATCAGCGACTCCAGATCGTAAGGTTGTCCGATCGAGCCGGGCTGGGCTCATACCCTCTTTTTTACCTTTTATTTTTTTGACGCTTGGGGAGTGGAACATAGCAGAATTGGTTTCTTTGATGAACTGTCTCGATGTTTTCATTGATGTAGTTGTCTTGTATGGCCTTCCTTCATTCATTATATGATTTTATGTTGCAGGATTCACGGGTTGAAATTGTAAGTCTACTCTAGCCATCATTCCAGATTTAGGTCCTAGCTGTCAATCACCCGTCAGGTACAATACCTTACATTGTGTAGCCACCCTCAAGATACAGAGTAACAGTGCCGAATGCAATTTAGTTCCACGACCAGCACGGACTGCTCCTCAGATATAATTTCTGCCACATGGTTATCTAGTCCTACTTCGACCAGATCGAATAAAATACATGTGCTACCATCACAAGTACTCATGCATCAACTAAAATCCTGGTGTGCAGTACACCCCGGAAGAGGTAGCACAAAAGCGACCTGCTCGTCACCTGAATGGGCCTATGGCGCAATTGGTAGCGCGTAGTAAGTTATCCTCGTCCATTACTGGATTACCAACATCATCTAACATCTTCCGCAGCGACTCCAGATCGTAAGGTTGTCCGATCGAGCCGGGCTGGGCTCATCCATTCTTTTTTTGTCTTTTTACTGTTGGATGCTTGTGATTATGGTGGTCACACCGTCTCTACCTCCTTTTGCTTTTTTTTTTTTTTTTTGGTACTGTATGTGAATGATTATGGTGAAGATCGGAGTACCGGAGCGTGTCTAGAAAGTGACATGTCTTGCAAAGAATTATTGGTAAGAAGTTGCTATGGTTGTCATCTTCACAATCACAGTCTTGTCTAATCTCAGCTGTCTAGACATCTTTCCGTACGTTCCTCATCCAGAATGTTCTGCTGCACATAATAAACTCTATGACGACCCAAATAGATGCCGGTTAGGGCTGCTATCCAAATTAGGAAGTTGTCTGGAGGACTTGCTACTAGCGTGGTGGCCAAGAGCTTTGATAGACCCGATTCGTCAAATATCAGAATATAGTGGGTAATTCAAACGCTAGCTGGTATATTATTGGCTGGTTCAATCTGATACTTGACCAACTCCCCAGGAACCTCCATGTCGCCTTTTTCATTATAAAATGGATTTCGTTTGGATTGGTGCTTAATCTCCAGTTGGAGACCAACTCAGCGGCTTATGAATCAAGCTGATAGTAACTCAATTTAGTGCCTTGTTTAGGAAGTCTGCTTTTTGCGATGCACATATTTATACCCATTCCCAGGCTCATTCAAGCAGAGGTAGACATGGCTGCTCAGTGTGAATCAACAACGGACCATGAAAGAACAGTGTGCTGAGGACCAGCGTCCCCAAGATGTCGATCGTCAGGGTCGACAGCGCCCGCGCATCTTCCCTAACCTGGTCGTTGAGATTGGATTCTGCGTGGCTCTGATGCTATCCCAGATCATGTCGGTACGTCCATACCAACCATCCCCCAAACTCCAGCCATCTCACACCATGACAGGAATTCTTCATATCCGGCTTCAACGTCCTCATCCCATCCGTCTCACAAAGCCTGAACATCCCCGCCGCATCCACCGGCTGGCCCTCCAGCGCCTTCGCCCTCACAGCCGGCAGCTCCCTGCTCCTCTTCGGCCAACTAGCCGACAAATACGGCGGCTTCGTGGTCTTCACCTCCGGCCTAACATGGCACCTCGTCTGGACCCTAATCGCCGGTTTCTCCCAGAACGAAATTATGCTCAACTTCTGCCGTGCCCTACAAGGCTTCGGCCCCGCCGCCATCCTCTCCGCAGGCATCATGCTGCTGGGTTCGATCTACCCTCCAGGTCCCCGCAAGAACATTGTCTTCAGCATCTATGGCGGCTGCGCCCCGATAGGCTTCTCCGCAGGTATTCTCGTCTCCGGAATCGCCGACCAACTACTCAACTGGCGCTGGTACTTCTGGATCGGCGCCATCCTGATCCTGATCACCCTCGTATCGGCCCTCATCTTCATCCCGGCTCCGATCCGCACCCAACGACCCAACCCAACCCTTAAAATCGACTACCTCGGCGCCACCCTCTTCATCTCCAGCCTCATCCTGATCTTCTTCGCCGTCAACGACTGCGGCCACGCCCCTAACGGCTGGCGCACTCCATACATCCCCGTGACCCTGGTGATCGGCTGCATCCTCCTCGCCGGGGCAATCTACACCGAACACCGCCTCACCTTCTCCACAGACGACAGAAAAACCACAACCACAAGACAGACCGCAACCCCAATCCTCCCCCTCACCCTCTTCCGCGTCCCCCATCTCCCCGCCCTCCTCATCGCCCTCTTCCTCTTCTACGGCACCTTCGGCATCTGGCTCCTCTACACAGTCACCTACATGCAAAACATCCTGCACATCTCCCCCCTAATGGTAGTAGTCTGGTACCTCCCCTTTGCGCTAGGCGGTATCGTTCTCAGCTTCGTCGGCGGGACTATCCTCCACATCGTCCCGGGTACTATCCTCCTGATACTCTCAGGCATAGGATGGGTCATGGCCCCGCTTCTCTTCGCCATCCTTCCTAAGGAAGGCGTGAGTTACTGGGCGTATATCTTCCCCGCGATGATTTGCGGGACTGTGGGCGTTGATATCACGTATAATATCACCAATGTGTTTCTTACTACTACGTTGCCCGAGCAGCAGCAGGGGTTGGCGGCTGCCGTGGCGAATAGTGTGTTGTTCCTCGGTGTGAGTTTCTTTGTTGGTTGGGGGGATTTTGTTGCTGAGATGGTGGATGGTCAGAGGGAGGGGTATAAGGCGGCGTTCTGGTTAGGGGTCGCGTGTGCGGGCGTTGCGTTGACGGTGTTGGTGGGGTGGGTGAAGATTGAGGCTGCGAGGGGGGAGGATGGGAAGGAGGAGGGAGAGGGAGAGGACGGGGGTGGTGTGTGATGTTGGTGGGATGGGATGGGTTGCATAGCGGTTTGGTGTTGTCGGTTTATTGGATAATGTTAAGGATTGATGATAGCGGTATTATAATTGGTTAATTAGAGAGTATATAAGTACAATGTATACAAGAGATGCTCCAAACCGCAAAAAAAAAAAAAAAAAAAAAAAAAAAAAAAAAAAGAAAAAAAAAAAAAAAAAAAAAAAAAAAACATAATATGCATACCCATTGATCCCAGATGATGTTATACCGCAACACGACATGAGGTCGTACTCATCGTTTGAACTGGAAGTACACGCGCTCTTACGCTTCCGAAAACGGAATGTCTTCCGCTCAATGTACACAATACCCGCTGCACACTGCTTCTCCGCTCTTAACATGCCCTTTTAGGTAATATGCTCTTAGCAGAGCGCAGTCCGCCGATTTTATAGATAGACAAGACAGCCCATTACTTATAAGACAATAGACCTGACCCAGAAGCTAGCAAAATAACATAAATAATCTCAAGGCTACAGTCATTGTGCATGCTCTTCAATTAATAATAAGAAACCATCTTAGAACTATCTATACCAACCATGGCTCTCCTATTCACCCTCACCCTCACCCTCATCCTCTTCATCAAACCCCTACTCACATACCTCGGCACCAACACCCTAACCAAATACTACCCTCCCCTCAACCCACTCTCCAACCACACCACCCTCTCCTACATCTACGAACACCGCCACCCCTTCCGCACCCAACGCCTCTACAACATGCACCTCCACCTCCACAACCACCGCATAATCCGCCTCTCACCGACCTCCCTCTCCATTGCCGACCCAAAAGCCATCCCAGCCATCTACGGCCACGGCACACCCTGCCTGAAAGACGACGTCTACGCACTCACAAAAGGAACCCACACGCACTCTAACATGCTGAATACCATCTCCCGCGACGATCACTCCCGCAAGCGGAGAATGCTCGCGAATGCCTTCTCCACGAAGAATCTTGAACAGTGGGAGTTTAAGATAGCTGATAAGGTGAAGAGGTTGTTGGGCAAGCTGGACGGGATGTGTATACCATCATCATCGAATGCGGTGATGAATGGGGACGGGGACGAGGTTGATTTGAGATATTGGTTAAATCTGTTCACTGTTGACGCAATTGCTGATACTGGGTTGAGTGTTAAGTTGGGGCTACTGGATAAGGGATCGGATGAGGTTGTTGTGAATGGGGAGGTTGTTAGGTATATTGAGTGTTTGCATCGGGGGAATCGGGTCTCTTCGTGGGTTATTGGGGCGACTGAGTGGGTTGGGCTCTTGAGGGGAGTGTCTTGTGTTGTTTCGCCGTATCTACGAGAGCAGTGGGAGTGTGGGAGGAGGTTTGGGAGGGTTGTGAGGGCCTTGGTGGATCAGAGGTTGGGGGTTCAGGAGAGTGGGGAGAAGTTGAGTGATTTTCTGGGGTGTTTGGTTGAGGATAGGAGGGGTGTTGGGAGGGAGTTGGACAGGGGGGAGATTGTGGCTGAGGCGGGGCTTTTGTGTGAGTACTTCTTTTCCCCCTCCCCCCCAAGGGTATATTGTTTTTCCTGATATCGACGATGCTGACTATATGCAGTGGATGCAGGTTCCGATACAACGGCTATCGCCTTGACAAATATTATGTACTATCTTATCAAGAATCCACCATCGCTGGGGAAGCTCAGGGTGGAGGTATCCGGTGCTTTACGTGGTAAGGAAGTGGCACCATATGCCAAAGTCAGGAACCTACCGTACCTGAAAGCATGCCTGGAAGAGTCGTTGCGCCTGTCACCGCCCGTGGCGAGAGGGTTGGAGAGGAGGACACCTCCCGAAGGCATGTATATTCTGGGAGAAAGGATCCCCGGAAATGCCACCGTTAGTGTTCCTACCTACGCAGTTCATCGTGATCCGGAGATCTTTCCAGACCCTGAAGCCTTCCGGCCTGAAAGGTGGCTGGAGGATGATGAGAAGGTTAAGCAGATGCGGGCTGTTTTTATCCCCTTTAGTAGTGGCGCGCGGGCATGTATTGGACGGAATATTACGTTCATCGAACAGCAGATTTTGGTTGCTACGCTGGTTCATCGCTATGAGTTTGAGTTGC